TGATTATGAAAACTAATAGCGATGTTACACTATCTGTTCTACAATACTTAAAATACCAAGCAAGATATTTTTAAATGTAGTGAAAATACACATTTAAATTCAGACAGCTTTTCTACAGCGCTTCCATCGGATCATATATCATGTAGTAAAGCAAAAGCATCTAATTGCCATATTCTTTTATAAAGTTAAAAGAGGTCTGCTATAAAAATTACATGTAATCAGTATGAATGCAACTATAAAAGTCACTACATATGGCACCCTGCAATTTAATTCTCTTCGTAATTGCTGCTGATACCAGTTTTATATTTGGAGTGTACATAAGAAATGAATACTTTGGTATCGAAACTCCCCTGTATTTTGCAATGATTTTAACCAAATAGTTAACTTCTCCCACCAATATGTTCATTAAGTTTCTTTGTGAGAAAAAGTAATACTTAATTTTTATTTACTGTTTAACATTTAAAGTAGACATTTCTGATTTTTGCAATGAGAAACATCAGTTTATCCAGGAGAAACATCATAAAAATTAACCGTAACATTAACAAATTTAAATTAATGAAGAGTACAATTTGGAATAAGTTTGAGTGATATTCATTCTATAATGTATACATGTTTCAAAACATTACATTGCACACCTTAAATATATACAATTTTTATTACACCTTATGAGGTGGGTATAATAATAGTTTTTTTTTTTTTTTTAAGAGCTTGTGAGAAATAATCTTATTCTCCTGAAAGTTAACCAGAATGTGCAGAGTTGACTTTTACAGTGTGACTTTCCCAAATTTTAGAATGATTAATTCAGTTTCATGCCAATCACTTCATCTGAAATGACAAGTTGCTTTTGCAATGAATTATCACATGACTCTTCTGGTTTCACTATTTACCACTATTTCACATGGTGAAATAGTGGTTTTCTATACGTTGTATTCATAATTTAGTAGGATGGCTGCAGTTCCTGTATGGAAATTATAAAGTATTGAAACCCACCCTGTGCCACACATTGTACTAAAAATGCTCATCAATCTGTTAGGTAGGTACTATGATTATCAACATGTATTGCAGAGGTGTGACAGATTAAATAAGAGGCTCAAGGTTAGATGAAGGTGAGGGGTGGGAAAGCAGTCATTCAAACTCGAATAGTCTGATTTATTGGATCAACCCATTTATCTCACTGAATTTTAGTTAAGTTTATGTTGTGCATACAATTTTATAGCTTTAAAACATTATTTGAGGTCTTCTTACTTTAATTCAGCATGTTTATTTAAAATAGCAATGTGAAATATTTTCAAAAAAATTAAAACTTAAAAAAATCAAGCAGCATTTATCTGATAGATATACATATATGTATATCTACCACTGTGTTTAGAAATAACATATATATCCTACTGTGTTTAGAAATAAATATATTTTCTGGAGTCCAATATAATCTCATTTGTAATTGGGGCTTTAAAATAACTGGCTATGAAAGTTATTAATATAATTGTTGATTAATAAAAAATATACTTCATCAATATATAAACATATAAATATATTGGATTAATATTTAATAAAATATATTTATAATTTATATTTATAAATAAAGATAAAATTATTTTTATTATAGTTATAAATAAATTTCATTAAATAGTATAATGACATATTGTGTTATGACTAGTATAATAATATAAAATAGCAGCATATTAACATTTTCATTAAAAATCTAAGCTTATCATTAAGACATTAGCATTTCTTAAGCTAACTTACTCTTATATTTTACCCACTCAAATTTTTTAAATTTCCACTTTTCTTTGAGAAGGTTTCCCTTTCCCACAGCTACTCCCAACCTTTCTTTTATCTTCTACATGCATTCTGGTCATTGTTTCAGTATGCCTACTTTACCTTTATATATATTTTTAAATCATTACATAATCCATCGGAGACAGCACATTCATTATTTCCTAAGTACTCTTAGAGTCTTTGACTTTTATGTAATGGATTCATCATCTATGGCCTTTTAAAATGTCCAGTTTTTTCAAAAGCCTATTTTGCTACTGGGGACTTAACCAAATGTTTCTCTATGTCCATCATTTTTCATTGCAGTGCTCTGAGAAATTGGTTGGCATTTTGTATTTCACAATCTTTTTTATTAAAATAATTTATACCTAGATCATCAGTATGCTTCTAATAACCTCTGGCAACTGCGTAGCATTAAAATTTTTCAAGTTACCTCCAGCTCTTCACAACCAAAATATTGTAACTTACAGCTCAGTATACTCCAGGTCTGGACTCTGTGGTCATGTGTCTAAGGCTTAAAGGAAATGAGGGAGAGCCAAAGAAAAATTAGGCAAAATGCCTAGAAGCTTAGATTTCTCCCATTCTGTTTTTCAAAATGACAATCTGCTGTCTCAACAGTGAAATACATGGGCACCAGATTGAACATAATCGTAGAGTTCTTTTGAATTTTGTTTCAGCATAATTTTCTTATTAAATGTTGCCTCTGTTGATCTTCATGTGAAACCCCTTCTACCTATTGCTATTTATGTTTCATTGTTACTGCTTGGAAAGGTATTAGTGGAAGTGAGTTACCGGGGAATTCCTTTCTGATCTTTTCTTTTGCAGTTCAAATGAGCAGGGTTTTGTTCTAAGAAGACAATTCTGACAACAGAAACAGCACTAAAATAGAGGAACCACTTTATCTCCTCCAAAGTTCTAAAAATAGAGACTCTTCCACCTCTAGGATTAGGTTTTTCCTTGGAAATTTTTCAGTTGCAAAGCAGTAAAGATTTAACCTGTCTGAATAATTCTTTTTTTCACTTTTTTTTTTTTTTAAGACTGAGCTGGGCTCTTGTTCCCCATGCTGGAGTGCAGTGGTGCAACATCAACTCACTGCGACCTCCACCTCCCAGGTTCAAGGGATTCTCCTGCCCCAGCCTCCCAAGTAGCTGGAACTACAGGTGCCTGCCACCACTCCTGGCTAATTTTTGTATGTTTAGTAGAGACGGGGTTTCTCCATGTTGGCCAGGCTGTTCTTGAACTTCTGACCTCAGGTGATCCACCTGCCTTGGCCTCCCAAAGTGCTGGGATTACAGGCATGAACCACTGTGCCTGGCCACCTGTCTGGATATTTCTGTATACCTTTTTGTTGTGTGTGTCTAAATCCTGCCATGATACAAACAAAATATTCAGGCATAAGATACAATCTAAAATTGACTATGACTCCAATTATGGTTTAACCATAATTCATTTAAGTATGCTAATAATGGTAGTTGTGTATTAATTTTATAATTTTAATTACATTCTCATTTGTTACTTGATTTGAATCGTATGATATGTTATCAACATACAAAAAATTAAAAGAATATGAAATTAAGTGACTTTGAGCGGTTAATGACAAAATAAGCATATCTAGCTTTAGGCTATGAAATTTGTGTGTGACTGCACCACATCATACCGGTTTACAAATTATTTAAATAATAAGTAATTTTTGATATAGTTCACTTACATTTTTCTAATTAACCTGATATAATTCCATGACAAGTCATTTGTTCTCAATAGGAAGCATAACAATCTAATATTGCAAAGAATTCAAATGACATATATTGATATTTGTTTCATTTTTCCACAGGAGTGAATGTGATTGTTAAAATATTCTTTAAAAACCAGTGATTTAGAAACACATGCAAATTATATCCATTCTTTCCTCTGCACATTCTTCAGATCTTACTTTTTGTTGGAAATAAGTATGTTTTAAAGCCTATATGGGTTTTTCTGTAGCTGTTCTTCCAGTGTCTGGCTTTAAAGAACATGTAATTATACAGAATTTCTGAAGGTCCTTTTTAATTGGAAGTTTTAATTTCACCTTAGAAAAATATTGAATATTCCAACAGCAATATGTAATAATACAATATGTATGTTTTATAAGAATGGAATGATGATTCCAACTTCGTGAAAGTTATGTTTATTTTCTCACCATTGTTGATTTAAAAAATTTCTTTCATTAATAATGTTGTAATTGCTATAGCACATTTTTGTTGGCTAGGCTTTGGGAAAACTTTCTGTCCCTGTCTTCTTTCTGTCTCACTTGTCTTCTTTGTTTATTAGGATGTTAGAGTTTTGCTTCTCTAGCCCAATGGTCAGGGAATGGAGTGGAGAGAGAAAATTTAAGACTCCTAACCATATGCCTAACTAAAAGTATTGCCCAACCCCAAATATTGCCGACACAGAATTAGTAGTATGACCTAAATATTATAGAAGTTATTAAGCCAAGCTTGTTTTTCCTGCTTTTGTCTCGAGGTGTTGTGAACAGTAGCACCCAGAAGAGGCTCTGAAAGTTATATGGATAAAAAAGATGTGCACATTATGCCTCTGGTATTATCATTGTCCTTTCTTAGTCAGAAATTAATGGGTGTATGTTCAGTTTTACTAATTTGCAAAAACTAAACTTTCTCACTTAATTTTCCATTTTAGATTTTTATAATGATAAAGTCAAGGAGACTAACTGGTCTCTGTTTTTCATGTAAGTTACATAGGTTTTTGTGAGATTTAGGCTGATAAAAGAAACATGCTTAAAAATTGGTTGGTGGCATTTCAATGTGGAATTTAAGAATCCTTTTCTATTAAGTATGGAACTGATATAAAATAACACATGGGTAATTCTTTATAAATCTTGTCTAGTATTCTATGTTAGACAAAGACAAAGAGCAATTAGAATTAGGTTTCTCAGATCTCATTGTATAATTAGTAAAAATGTCTAAATTTGGACACATTGCTAAGATATCTAATACCATGAGAAATTTATCTCTGTAGAAGTTTTCTGAAAACTTAAAAGTTCTTTACAGAAAGAGAAATCCTACTTCCTGTCATGCTTTTCTCAAAACAAAATTTATTCCATTTTAAATAGCACATATTTTGTTGAAAACCATAGTTTCTAATGATTTTGAATTGTTCTGAATAGCTTTTAAAAACACATTTATTAACATTGGTTTGTTCATATATGATTAATGTAATATGGACATGTGGTGCTCACTTCAGCAGCACATATACTAAAATTGGAATGATACAGAGAAGATTAGCATGGCCCCTGTGCAAGGATAACACGCAAATTTGTGAACTGTCCCATATTTTTTAGTGTAAATTAGTTCAACCATTGTGGAAGACAGTGTGCCAATTGCTCAAGGATCTAGAAATAGTAATACCATTTCACCTAGCAATCCCATTACTAGGTATATACCCAAAGGATTATAAATTGTTCTGTTATAATGACACATGCACACATACGTTTATTGCTGCACTGTTTACAATAGCAAAGACTTGGAATCAACCCAAATGCCTGTCAATCATAGACTGGATAAAGAAAATGTGGCAAATATACACCATGGAATACTATGCAGCCATAAGAAACGATAGTTTGTGTCCTTTGTAGGGACATGGATGAATCTGGAAACCGTCATTGTCAGCAAACTGGCACAAGAACAGAAAACCAAACACTGCATGTTGTCACTCATAAGTGGGTGTTGAACAATGAGATCACATAGACACAGGGAGGGGAATATCACACACTGGGGTCTGGTGGGGGGTGGTGGGGCTGGGGAAGGATAGAAGAGGTTGGGGAGAATGGGGAGTGATAACATTAGGAGAAATACCTAATGTAGGTGATGGGGGGATGGAGGCAGCAAACCACCATGGCATGTGTACACCTATGTTAGAATCCTGCAAGATCTGCACATGTACCCCAGAACTTAAAGTGTAATAAAAAAAAAAAAAAGGACGTGTATTTTCACAGATGTCTCATTGAAAACATATAGGCATAACACTGATTTATTGTGTTCCTCTTAAAATTTAAACACTCTATTTGCTTTTTTCTTTTTTAAAAATTTATTATACTTTAAGTTCTGGCGTACATGTGCAGATTGTGCAGGTTTGTTATAAAGATACACACGTGCCATGGTGGTTGATTGCTGCTTCCATCACCCTGTCATCTACATTAGGTATTTCTCCTAAGGCTATTCCTTCTCAATCCCCCCACCCTTGCTATTCCTCCCCTAGCCTCCCCACCCCCAGGTCCCTGTGTGTGATGTTCCCCTCCCTGTGTCCATGTGTTCTCTTTGTTCAACACCCACTTATGAGTGAGAACATGCAGCGTTTGGTTTTCTGTTCTTGTTTCAGTTTGCTGAGAATGATAGTTTCCGGCTTCATTCATGTCCCTGCAAAGAACATGAACTCATCATTTTTTATGGTTGCATAGTATTCCATGGTGTATATGGGCCACATTTTCTTTATCCAGTCTATGATTGTTGGGCATTTGGGTGGGTTCCAAATCTTTGCTATTTGTCATCTGGAAACAAATAAGAAGTGAACTCTCTTTCTTTAAAAATAACTCATTTATATTTGGGTCAACAGAATTAATTTTGGGGTATAAAATATGAGGAAATTTACTGGGTGATGTTATAGTAATTATTCACAATTCTAAGTAAGCTTCAGATGAATGAACTTGGTGCATTTGAAGGAGGCTCATTTTTTGTTTCTTTTCTTTTTTGAGACAAGGTCTCATTCTGTCACTGAGGTTGAAGTGCAGTGGCAGCATCTCCGGCCATTGCAACTTGTGCCTCCCAGGCTCAAGCCATCCTCCCACCTTAGCCTCCCCAGTAGCTAGGATTACAGGCACATATTACCATAGCCGGCTAATTGGTGTATTTTTTGTAGAGACAGGGTTTCACCATTTATCCCAGGCTAGCCTTGAACTCCTGGCCTCAAGCAGCCTACCTGCCTTGACCTCCCAAAGTGTTGAGATTACAGGCACGAGCCACCACACCCAGCCAGGGGGCTCATTTCTAAACATGTAAATGTATTTTAATCTTTAATGTTTATAAATGATGTTTGTATTCCTTAAAGTTTTCTGAAGATTTCAAACCTATCAATATAGGTTTATATTAACTTATCCATATAAGTCTCCTTTAATGAAAGTGTAGCAGACAAAATGAGAAAAAAATTTTGCTATAATCTCCTTAAATTTATATGAAAACTTTGGTAAATTTTTAATACATTTACATTAATGTAATTGAAGATGTGCCCAGTGTATCATGGGTAACCAGTTTCACAAGATAGGAGTAAAACGTGACCATGTACAACTCTAAAAAATATCGAAAAGCAGCTTTTTCATAGTCTCTTTGATACATTCCTTATTTTTCCCTATATTAATATATTCATGCATTTCTTCTATAATACATCCTGCAGTACTGACCTCTTTAGTCCTTATTTGTGAGTAAATTTTGATTTCCATTTTGGTTGTTATCGTGGCCTCCATGAAGCAATGATTTCTAATCTTGGATTCTGCACAAGTAATATAAAATCTTAACAAACTAGTTACTTTATTAAAGATAGAAATTATAACAATATATCCATTATTTAAGAAATTAAAAAATTTTAGAATGTATCAAAATGATATATTCTAACTTATTTTTTCTCAGTGTTTCACTAAAATGTAGTACATTCTGCTTCAAAGTTACATTTTGAGAAAAATCATGCATAATCATTGAGATGTTAATGCAGTTATATACTCTAAGTGTACAAAGTGTCATATTTGTCACATAATTAGGTTTTTCAAGTTATTTCTAGCTTTTTCTTCATGATCCCTTACATATTTTTAATTTAAAAAACGTATTGAGCATAAAATGAATGTGATTCAGAATATTATATTTAATACTTGTTTATAATACCTGTGAGATAAAACGTTGAACATTGATGGACAATGTAAGCAATCAGTTTTTCTTTCCAAGACAAGCATTAGCTGATGACACTAGAACCTCCTGTAATTAGCCCTGACATGACTCACCTGTTATTTAGTTTATAGCATGTAGTATTGTAGCTCCAAACAATCTGTCACAATTAAACTCTAAACATTAATATATAAAATTATCAGAAATAATGGAGTGTACATATAAAACTCTAAGGTCATGATTATTCCTACGGAAATGGCAATCTTTATTTTCAGCAGCTACTTTGACAGAGTTGTTTTTTGTGTGTTTATTGAGTAAATAGATAACACTACAGACATCATCCTTAACATAGAAAATAACCTTGCTCGTGATTATTAGCTATTTTGGAATCTACAGATTGTTTCACATTTTTGAGGGCATTTCTGTAACACTGAATGTTTTCCCTGCTTAATTTAATAAAAGAAACCCACTGAAATGTATCCATCAGTTGTGCATGACATTACTTGTTTCATTGTTTTAGGTTTTTTTTTTTTTTTTTAATTGTGCTTTAGGTTCTGGGGTATATGTGTAGATCATGCAGGATTGTTGCATATGTACGTACATGGCCATGTGGTTTGCTGCATCCATCCTCCCGTCACCTGTATCTGGCATTTCTCCCCAAGTTATCTCTCCCCAACCTCCTCACTCCCCTGCTGTCCCCCCTTAAGCCCTCCCACCAACAGACCCCACTGTGTGATGCTCCCCTACTTGTGCCCATGTGTTCTAATTGTTCAACACCAGCCTACGAGTGAGAACATGCTGTGTTTGGTTTTCTGTTCTTCTGTCAGTTTGCCGAGAATGACCATTTCCAGATACATCCATGTCCCTACAAAGGACATGAACTCATCATTTTTTATGGCAGCATAGTAATCCATAGTGTATATGTGCCACATTTTCCGTGTTCAGTCTATCATTGATGGGCATTTGGGTTGATTCCAGGTCTTTGCTATTGTAAACAGTGCCTCAGTGAATGTACATGTGCATGTGTCCTTATAATAGAATGATTTATAATCCTTTCAGTATATACCCAGTAATAGGATTGCTGTGTCAAATGGAATTTCTATTTCTAGATCCTTGAGGTATCACCACACTGTCTTCCACTATGGCTGAGCTAATTTACACTCCCACCAACAGTGTAAAATATTCCTATTTCTCCACATCCTCTCCAGCATTGTTGTCTCCAGATTTTTTTAATGATCTCCATTCTAACTGGTGTGAGATAGTATCTCAATGTGGTTTTGATTTGAATTTCTCTAATGACCAGTGTTGATGAGCATTTTGTCATATGTTTGTTGTCCTCATATATGTCTTCTTTTAAAAAGCATCTGTTCATATCCTTCGACCACTTTTGAATGGGTTTGTTTTTTTCCTGTAAATTTGTTTTAGTTCTTCGCAGATTCTGGATATTAGCCCTTTGTCAGATGGGTAGGTTGCAAAATTTTTTCCCATTCTGTTGGTTGCTGGTACACTCTAATGATTGTTTCTTGTGCTGTGCAGAAGCTCTGAAGTTTAGTTATATCCCATTTGTCTATTTTGTCTTTTGTTGCCAATGCTTTTGGTGTTTTAGTCATGAACTCCTTGTCAATCCCTATGCCCTGAATGGTTTTGCCTAGGTTTTCTTCTAGGGTTTTTATGGTATTAGGTCTTATGTTTAAGTCTTTAATCCATCTGAAGTTAATTTTAGTGAAAGGTGTCAGGAAGGGGTCCAATTTGTGCTTTCTGCACATGGCTAGTCAGTTCTCCCAACACCATTTATTGAACAGGGAATCCTTTCCCCATTGCTTGTTTTTGTCAGGTTTGTCAAAGATCTGATGTTGTAGATGTGTGGCGTTGCCTCCAAGGTCTCTGTTCTGTTCCATTAGTCTATATCTCTGTTTTGGTACCAGTACCATGCTGTTTTGATTACTGTAACCTTGTAGTATAGTCTGAAGTCCCATAGCATGATGCCTCTGGCTTTGTTCTTTTCGTTTAGGATTGTCTTGACTATGCAGGCTTTCTTTTGGTTCCATATGAAGTTTAAGGTGTTCTTTCCAGTTCTGTGAAAAAGTTCATTAGTTACTTGATGGGGATTACGTTGACTCTATATATTACTTTGGGCAGTATGGCCATTTTCACCATATGAATTCTTCCTAACCATGAGCATGGAATGTTTTTCCATCTGCTTGTGTCCAATTTTATTTCCTTGAGCAGTGGTTTGTAGTTCTCCTTGAAGAGGTCCTTTACATCCTTTGTTACTTGTATTCCTAGGTATTTTATTCTCTTTGTAGCAATTGTGAATGGGAGTTCCCTCGTGATTTGGTTCTCTGTTAGTCTGTTATTGGTGTATAGAAATGCTTGTGATTTTTGCACATTGATTTTGTATCCTGAGACT